CTTGTTCCATCTGTAACTCATCGAAATAATCATTTCCGAAATTCTATTATCGGAATTATTTTTAATTCCTTTTTTTACAAAAAAAAAATAGGGTGGGGCATCTTAAGTGCGAAAACGGTCTATATCGGCTCACTACTAAGTTTTACGAAACCATCCATCGGTTGTATTTAAACATTTGAACACATTTTCCAATTACTTTATGGAAAATATTCTGACCAAAAATTATCGGTCCATATAGAAATACCGCCGATTTATTCGGAATTTGAAGATTTTACTTACGCATTTTAAACGAATTGGTTGTAATTTAACACTAGATTGCCGAAAGCTGTCATTTTGACCGTTTTTTTTTTTTCAATTTCAAGTACAAAAACAACTGTGTATATAAATACACAGCTTTTTAAAATTTGGTGACTTTTTTAAAATAAACGTAATTCTATGTGGTACAAAAAGTCACAAAATTTAAAAAAGTGTCATTATATGCACAGTTGTTTTTGTACTTGAAATTGAAAAACGGTCAAAATGACCGCCTTGGGCAATCTAGTATTAATAGTTTGCGTTATCAGTGGGTCGCAACCTCCTTCTAAAATATAATCAATATTGGTCTTTATTTCGGAGTATCGCCGATATTATGATTTTGTTTGGCCTCAAGAGAATGTACACCAGTATATATTTATCCTAAACCCACCATTTTCACAGTTTTTTTCTGTTTCTCTAATCGTTAAACAGGCTGCAATCATTAAGACGATGCAATTTGAAGACGATCGCCCAACATTAAGCGGTCCAAAGGGACCAATTTTTGAATAATTGAATAATTTTAGCTTCACAGAATGTTAATGTTCAGCGTAGGTGTGTAGGGTATCATTTTGTTGGCCCCTTTCGAATAATCTGCTTAGTGGTTATTATATGATTGTGTGGCCCCAAGAGTTTAAAACGCCGCGAAATATTCGTCCTAGACCCATCCCGATCTAGGCATGTGTATTCCTACGTCTATCCATCTGTCCATTATAATTTGCAATCAAAGTACATGCCGCAGTCACTAACAGTCGTCAAGAAAATGTGAATATAGGCTCGCTTCGGGCCAAATATCGGTAACGACCGGTTAATATTTATGTGATCGTTGGTCCATTCGATTAACTTTATTTTTTCCCTTTCTGCAATCAATAATGACCAGAACATCACAAAATTTTGCACGGTCAAGCAAATCAGGTCAATACAAAGAACGACTGTTTTCATGATACTCGGCCAATAATTATCGGTTTAAATAGACCAAGACCATATATTTACTTCGGAAAAACTTACACTGGAGGTGTTAAAAGTGTATACATAGAGGGAGACTGGGGCACCTCCGGCAATCGTGTTTTCTATACGAAGCTCTCACCGTACATCACTAGTTTCGATACATAGGTATCGAATATCGAAATAAATAACTGACACAAGGTTTGAAATTTCTAGCCAATAAGCTTATTTAGATACATGGGTTTTTGTATTTTTATAGATGTTTCTGTAATATTCAAATTCTATTTCGTAAATATTTCGTGTATAAACCTTTTTAAATTTTTAAGACAATATTTTAAAAAAGTGGTTAACTATGATGTGTATTATTATAGAAATATTTAAAAATATAATGTTTTTACAAAACTGATCGAAAAAAATGAAGAAAAACTATAAAAATTACATTCGGGGTACATTCGGCATTTTAAAGTGGGGCACATTCGGCCATAAACAGATTGTGCAATATTATTTCTTTAAAATGTTTTTGAGTTTGTTTTTAAAACTAATCCTTTATTATCGATCGAAATTGCATATATAAGATAGATAGAAAACCCCTATTTCTGATGGTGTGTGCGACCTTGAGATGTAAACATCCGCCGCTAGAAAATAAAGCCCTGTAACCAAATAGAGCCTTAGGGGATCAGAATTTCAACCAGACTGATAGCGATGACAATTACCCGGCTATGACTATGGGGCCGAATGTGCCCCATCAAATGCCGAAGCTACCCCAGGTTGGGGCACATTCGGCGAATTTTACATTTTTTACAAAACTGTAAAATTTTTTAACTAATACTATTTTTTATATCTTTTTGGTACTATTTTTTATAATTAAGTGTCCGAGGACAATAATCAGCCATAAAGTTGTTATATATTTTGAATAAGTACTGAGATATAGAGCTCTAAAAAAGTGCCGAAGGTGCTCCAGTCTCTCCTACAAGAAGATATTTTCTTGCGAAATTTTTTACCCATCACGATAACACTGCAACGATGAACTTAAATTTTTGAAGGGTGATGAATTACTGTAGTACTGCGAAAAAGTTGTTTAAGGGGACCGCATCATTCAAGGTTTCAACGAATTTTATTCTGGTTTTCTATTTAATTTGTTATGACCTCTTGTTATTAATCAGTTTAGCCTTCGGACAGCTCTACGGAAGTCAGGGAGGTTCCCAACCACCAAACCTATGTCTGTTCTAACATCATTTTTTTACATCTTTTAGGACCAAAAAAAGCGACGGCATACGTGTTTCTCAAATATTAAACGCGTTTTTCTCAAAGCAAAAAACATGATACAATAACGCATAATTGACACGCATAAATTGACAGATTTCTGATCAAGAATATATATACTTTATGGGGTCGCCGGTGAATATTTCGATGTGTTGCAAACGGAATGACAAATTTAATATACACTCCACCTTATGATGGAGGTTGTAAAAATATGGATAACAGAATTATCGATGCGGATCTGCCGCCTGCGTGTCTATCATAATGAAATATGTTGATAGTAAATATTGAATACGACAGTTCTTAATATACTCTTCAAGGGTTTACATCCTCATAAGGAACTTATTAAAGTGATGACCCTTGGTGGGGGAGGTAATGGAAGGAGTGGACCGATAAGTCCCATCTTCCAACATTATACTGAAATGGTTAATATGTTGTCAACGTTTATTGAAGTTTGGAACAAATATTATGATGTGCAAAGTTTGAATGAAATCGGTTACTACCTTCGAGATTTATAGTGCACACCAGCGACAGACGGACGGACATTTGTAAATCGACTCCAAATTGCCTGAAGCGGGTTTGACTAAAGAAATATGGGGTTTAAGACCCATATCGTTGAGGCACCTTTTTTGCCTGAGTAATGTGTATATGCCCTCATAGGCCTCAGAAGGTTGAACACCACGTAATGTTAGCCTTGCACCTTTTAGTATGTCGATTCTCCTGTCTGTTTGCACATTATAGATTTTAATTACAGTACAGGCCTCAGTTATGAACCAATCGTCAAGAAATGTTGAATATAGGTTCGGTTTTAGCCAGAGATGTCAGCTATAGATTTGAAAATCGCGCTACAGTCGCAAAATGATGCCGAAAGAGGGTTTGACAGAATAATGTTTTGATGATTATTTAGCAAGCTACAGTCTCAAAATTATGACCCGAAAGGAGATCTGACCAGCGAATAATCATGGCCGTTTTCGATGTTGATCGATGTGAATAATAACATAATTTCCATGAAGAAAGAGTAGCAAATGTATAAAAATAGTAGATGTTCAAAACTGTTGACTGATAGTGCTTGATCGTCAATTCACATATCGTAGAGACATACTTGAACATTTCTTCCAAAAATATATATTCGATATTGCATGAATATCTCGTTTGTTCTCGTTATATCTCCCATAATTTGACAACCGCCTAAAAAAGTATCGTATCGATTGATGCAATGAAATTTTACAAAAGGGACGCCATTGATGATGAATCTGGGATATATGTTTATACCAAAACAAATGGGTCTTCAAATAGCTAATAGCTAAATCCAACGAAAGATGTTCGTAAAAGAAGCACTTCGAAGCAACTGGACCGTCTGTTTCTTTTTTCCAATTCGGTGTTAAAATACGGCTAATACTTCTTTATAGGGGGCAACAATGAAAATATTCTATTAAGAAAAAAAAAAACGAGAACCCGCTACAACTACTTCGTGTGATAATCTAGGCCAAATTATTCAACATGCCGAAAAAATTCGGGGTACGTTATATTGAAGTTATCTTTCACAATTTGGAATTCGAAATTCCAGCCACTTCAGTGCGGAAATGTAGGTAAAATCTTACAAATATCGAAAATGGGGCGGAATCAATAACCTTAAGGAGTGGGACAATAAACCTCTCTTCGGAATTAATGTAGGTTTGATGAAAATACGCTGTGAAATCAATGGACCAAATTGTATACTCGGTTCGTATGGAATTTACACGTTTCAAACATTTTAAGTCTCCGGGAACAGGGATACCAGAAAGAGCGCTCCGACCTATTTATATGAGATTTCCAAATTTTTGTAAATCTCATATATCTGTAGATCCGAGTCAAAATCAATACAATAATCCACATATAGGATATCTTTGTTTCCCTGATAAATTACCCAAAATCAAAATTTCCCGAAAATTTAACACACAACACCTTAGTTGAACTTTATAACCAAATATTCATTGTAAATCAGTCGTCCTCTTCACTTACACTAAATCACACTCAAACATGGTCAAAGGAATTGTAAAATCAAGTGATTTCCAAAGCTATTTGCCTCCGATAAATACGTTAAACTGTGTATTTGCTCGGCCACAAAAGCCACTGCAAAACAGCAAAGCAATTTAAATTGAGAAGTTCATTTATTTGTAGGATTTACCGGCAACTTGAATTCAATCTGTCGCTCGGCATACCAACAAAAACAGAAACACAAGGAAATATTTAAAAAGTAGTTTTCTACGGCATTCAGATTTTCCACTTGGAAATTTGTCCATACTTTTCCTCTATTGTTCAACAACAAGAACAACAACATTTCAATTGTACTTAATATGTTTTTGATGGTTTTCTCATTTGTTTGTTCGTTCGTTCGGTCCTCGTCGTCGGTTCTATCTTACATTCATTTATATATTTTTTGTTTTTGGTTTCTTTTTTCTTTTTTCATTTTGATCTCTCACTAACGTTCTTCGTATGTTTTTGGCCTCTTTCCATTTTTGCAGGGCACCCAGAAGATTGCATTGCCATATCAGGCCAATCAAAAACTCACTGTTAAACAAATCCTAACACACTTCAGTGGCATCGATGCATCGACAATGAAAAATCCTAAGGAGATTTTTGCAGCTGACATTCAAAAGGATTTGCTGCTGCTCGAGGAGCAGGAGGGCTCAGTTAATTTCAAATTTGGCGTTGTATACATGAAGCCGGGACAGTGCTGTGATGATGAGATGTTAAGTAATCGTAAGTAGATAATGATGATGATTTCGATGTTGTTGATTTTGAAATACCAAATGCTAGCTAGATATGTGAGATAAAAAATTGTACGATTTCTTAGAAAGGCTTTGCAGAAGAAATGTTTTTTATTTATTTTTCTTGAAAATGTTAAATAGGATTAGTATATTTTGGGAGAATTGCTATAAAAATGTCATGTCAATAAAAAAATCGCATTAGGTAATATTGGATAAGCAAATAGCAATGTAAACATTTATTTATAAGTAAGATGTGGACAATCAACGTGCAAGAAAAGTATAAAGAAATCTTATATTGGTACCCATATCGGTGAGTAGGCGTATGATAAGACCTGATTGTGTACTTAAGGGTACTGGGTCAAAACGTAGAACATGATGATGAGTCACTGGATTTTTTTAGATTTGGGAACAAATAATAGTCACTGGGAGCTAAATCAGGAGAATAAAGTGGGTGGTCAAGCAACTCGTACTTTAATTCGTTGATTTTAGCCATTGCTATAACACTCTTGTGCGCTGTTGTGTTGTCTTGATGAAAAATTATTTTTTTGTGTTGTAAGCCAGGACTTTTTACTCGAATTTGTATTGTTTTACCAATTGCAGATTGTCAATCATTAAAATAATGACAGCACGCGTTTTAGTTTTTCAGTTGTAAAAAAATTGCGGATACGTATTTTTCTATATAAAGGAGTTGCCAGATCGAAATAAAATTTAAGATGTGTTCATAACAGAGATGGAAGATTCCAAAACTCTTAACTTTTTTCAGTTTATACCGCGTTTTTTTGTGCTAGGCTAAGAAGTTTCCGGACTGCCCTCGTATTTGTCATATTGGACCATCAGAAAGTAGAGGAACATCTCTGACAAAGGTTTCATCACAGGACCATTGGTCTTCTCAGATATATATGATGTTAAATTTTTATACTCTACATCAAACATCTATGAATGAAATTAGAATCGTTTTTTATTTGCAAACCAGTGAGCGGAGCAGTATAGTCGGACAGGGCCGACCACACAACTTCCACAAAAAACCAACTTTCTGTGGATCTATATTCTGAGCATGGGCAATATTTCGCGATTTTTGAACCATCTGGACCAACTAGAGACCGACAATTATTACTAATGTTCAGTGCAGCCCTTCTAATTGCTTATCCAAATTCCTTGTGTTGTGATCTTCTTATTAACATTGGAGCCTATAGATCGACTCGAAAAAACACTAAAATTAAGTTTTCGGTCCACTTCATCACAATATAATTATCTGATCGTCATCGAAAATTGTAGGCTTTATCCTTGACCATAACTGGAACTTCATGGAATATAATTATCTGATCGTCATCGAAAATTGTAGGCTTTATCCTTGACCATAACTGGAACTTCATGGAACATTTTAAAGCGTTCAGCGCTATATTTTCGCCCTCTAGTGTGGTAAAGGGTTACTATATAATATCTGAATACATAAGCACCTGTAAATATTTAGGTGTGACTCCCACATCTGAGTACATACGACCATATAATTGGTATCAATTTAAAGGTCAACCACTATCAACTTAAAGAGTCTATATCCTTCAGGAGTAAATATATAAACCATAGAATTCAAATTTTGTAATTTTTCACACAAAAGTCAGAGTCCATTTGACCCGCTAAATAATGACGATATTTATTAAAGCAGACATGCTTATTCTTTGGCCCAATCCACTTCTTCATGTAAAATTTCGCGATATTCGGATCATAATTGCGGCCTCTTTAGTTACCATAAAAACCGACAAAAATTAAGTATTTGGTCCATATCATCCCCTAAATATTAACCGATCTTTACCAAAAACAATAGGGGTCGTCATTAGCCAGTAACCATCATACATGCAAAATTTCGTGAAAATTGGTCCATAACTGTGGCCTGTATCGTGTTTACAAATTATAATGGACAGACGGACGGACGGACGGCCACACATGTCTAGATTGACTCAGCTAGTCGAGATATGACGATCGGTATACTTAAAGGTAGGTAGGACCAATATTTCGCTGCGTTACAAACTCTTGGGGCTACACAAAGCTATAATACCCTGACAACATAGTTGTGTAGGTTATGATGAGCTATCAAATTGAGTCTAATTCGATTTAGATGTTCATATACCTCTATCGCATATGCTTTTGTAAATGGTGTACTAAAATTTTCTTTTTTGATCCATTTGTTCCAAACGATGTTTGTTATTGCGAAATTGTCAAAACAAAAATCTTAATTTTTGACTGACATGCAATACATTAATGTAATTATATTGCTATTTACAAATTCTAAACAAATTCTAACAAAAGCAAGTGACTTTGTAAAAAATTCAGTTCCCAATCTGAACAAAAATATCCCACAATCTTATAAATAACCCGTTTGATTTAAAAATAAAAAAAAAACATTTAACAAATCTCATTAATTTTTAATGCAAGCAAAAAAAAAAATAATTTTCATTTGTTCATTTTCAAATTCACAATAGCCAATGGAAGCAATTCCCTTTTTTGTTGGTTTGTTTGTTTGGAACAGGTTATATTGCTTGTAGGCGCATTATTAATGTATCCCTTTGTTGGAGAAAGGCATTGTCTCTGAGAGATCTTTTGTTTTGCCTTATGTTCCCCGTTAATATTTTTTTCTTTCTAAGCAGGAATTTTCTATATTTGTACTTGTGTGTGTTCGTGATGCTTTTATTGTTATAACCAAGAAGCCTTTAATCGGCATTCCCTCTGTGTGTTTCATTATTTTGGCTTCTTTTTTTTAATATTTTTGTTGTTGTTTTTTTACTCTCCTTCCAGAGGAATCCAGTCCAGACTTTGAAGACTTTTTAGATGTGCTGGGCGAACGTGTGCGCCTAAAAGGATGGGATCGCTTTCGTGGTGGCTTAGATGTTAAAGGTAAGTTGAATGTTTGGGAAGCATATTTAGTATATATAGGGGTATAAATATAAGACTAATGAAATACTGTGACGAGTATGTTGGAAAAATCCATGCCTTCAATGGTCGTTCAAAACAATCTTCATTAACAAATCCAGGCCTTTGGTAGTTCGTGAAAAAATCTTCTTAAAAAAACCCAGGCCTTTGATAGTCCGTGAAAAAACCTGCATTAACAAATCCAGACCTTTTGTAGTCAGTGAAAAAGTCTTCATTAACAAATCCAGGCATTTGGTAGTCCGTAAAAAAATTCTCCATTAAAAAATCCACGCCCTGGATTGAAACATTTTCATTAAAAATTCAGGCTTTTGGAAGTTGCTGAAAAAATATGAATTTACGCCTATGGTTGAGTGTTGAAAAATATTTGGTCCATGGAATTACTCATATAGTCGTAAAGTAACTACCACAACAAGTTTCTTAAATTACTCTCGTTCATCCACTATACACGGCAGCTACATTAACTATAGTATTAATGTGTTTCTTCATTTTATTCTTATTCTATTCGTTGAAGATGAACACGAAGAACCATCCTGAAATGGACTTTCCTCTAACAAAAAACAAAAAAAAAACAAGAAAACTGCATTGCTTTTATGCCGTACCCTAAAGATTTTATAGTTGTTGTTTTGTAGTTTATTTTTCTTGCCTATGGCTAACAAGGAAAAGAAGATGAAGCATCAACAGTGCGGGACAAGGAATCTTCGTGACTGCATGTAATACAAGTGTAATGTCGAACATTTGTCTTCAACGTGTTGTTCCATGAAATATGTTATTATAACCTTTAGTCAGCCATCTTCATTTAGTATTCGGATTTATCAAGGAGATGAGAAATGTGGAGAATAGATAAAATGTGAAATAAGGCGGGAGAGAGGAAAAAGAAAGGAGGCTATAGTTTGCGGGGATGTGACCACACAGCTGTCATTTCCCAGAATAGAATGATTATGTACGATGAAATAAAGATTTATGGGAATTTAAATTTTAAGGAATATTTTCCAGGACATATTTTTCAACGTCTTCCAAAGGCCTGCATTTTTATACCCTACACAACTATGTTGTCAGGGTATTATAGCTTTGTGCAGCCCCAAAAATTTGTAACGCCGCGAAATATTGGTCCTAGACCCACCTTTAAGAATACCGATCGTCATATCTCGAGCTGAGTCCATCTAGACATGTGTGTCCGTCCGTCCGTCTGTCCATTATAATTTGTAAACACGATACAGGCCACAGTTATGGTCCAATCTTCATGAAAATTTGCATGTAGGATGGGTTCTGGCCAATGAAGACCCCTATTGTTTTTGATAAAGATTAGGGGATGGAATGGACCAAATACTAAATTTTTTTCGGTTTTTCTGGTCGCTCCAGAGGCCGCAGTTATGGTCCGAACATCGTGATATTTTACATGGAGAATAAGCATGCCTGTTTTGATAAAGATCGGTCAATATTTAGCGGGTCAAATGGACCCTGATTTTTGTGTGAAAAATTACAAAATTTTTATTCTGGGGCGAAATTGTACATGAAGTTCCGATTATGGTCAAGGACGACGCTTATAGTTTTCGGTGAAGTTGAGATTTCATTCAGGGGGTGCAATTAACCGAAAACTTTAATTTTGTCAGATTTTCTAGTCGCTCTAGAGGCAATTATTATATACAGAACATCACATATTTTACAAGGTGAAGGGGATCTGAATCGGTCAATTTTCCGAGGGTCAAATCAACCAAAACCTAAAGTGACCAATTTTTTTGGATAATATGCAAAACTTAAAAAGAGGAGTTGTTGATCTATGATCGGTAAAAAAGGTGCAAATATCACGAAAAATATTGCGAAATATTGGTCGGCCCCGTCCGACTATACTGCTCCGCTTACTAGTTAGAGACTATTTTTTTCAACGACCAACACAATGCGTGAATTTTTTAAAGAAGATTTTTTTCACGGACAACCAATGGCGTAGATTTTTAAGGAGATCTTTTCACGGACTACCAAAGTCTTGAATTTTTTAAAGAAGATTTTTTCACGGACTATCAAAGGCGTCCATTTTTTAGAGAAGATTTTTTCGCGGACTATCAAAGGCGTGGATTTTTAAGGAAATTTTTTGACCAAAGGCATGGATTTTTTAAAGAATATTTTTTCAACGGCCAACTTAGGCGTGGATTTTTAATGAAGATTTTTTCAACGACCAACTAAGGCGTGGATTTTTAATGAAGATTTTTTCAACGACCAACTAAGGCGTGGATTTTTAATGAAGATTTTTTCAACGACCAACTAAGGCGTGGATTTTTAATGAAGATTTTTTCAACGACCAACTAAGGCGTGGATTTTTAATGAAGATTTTTTCAACGACCAAATAAGGCGTGGATTTTTTAATGAAGATTTTTTCAACGACCAAATAAGGCGTGGATTTTTTAATGAAGATTTTTTCAACGACCAAATAAGGCGTGGATTTTTTAATGAAGATTTTTTCAACGACCAAATAAGGCGTGGATTTTTTAATGAAGATTTTTTCAACGACCAAATATGTTTCAAGGACTATTCAAAGCAGATTTATTAAATAACTATTTTTTCAATGACTTCCAAAAGTAGGCTTTCCTAAAGAATATATTACAAGGACTATTAGAAGATCCAAGGATTAATTTTTAAATAGTTTTTATTTTAAGGATGAATATTTCTGAAAATTATATTGAAATTTTTAAATGTCTAAAACAGATTCTTCAACAATAGTTTCCAAAAAAACGAACAATACATTTTAGAGTATAAATAAACAAACCACGTGCACCCCAAGGGTTTTGTAGTGTTTGTAATGAATCAACCAACTCCTCATGGTATTGTCTCCGTTTGAGTTTGATGAAGTGGAATGTTGAGGTTATGTTACCAAATACCACTATTGCCTGTGCTCTTGATATCTCTTGTTAATTTAATTTTCCATGTAGAATAATTTGTCTTGTTTCCCCCTTATCTTCGTTCTTATTCTATTACAGGTGATATGACTGGTAAATACTCGGTTTATACACTGCATGAAGGTCATGAAATTATGTTTCATGTTTCAACACTGTTGCCCTTTTCCAAGGATAATCGACAACAGGTGAGTACGAAAATGCGGAGATAGAGAGAGAGAAAGAATGAAAATAACAAAATGAACAATTGCTAGGTGGTTGGTCCACAGACAGATTAGATATACAATTCCACACCATTTGTGTTATCAACTTAAAGAAGTTTATTTTTTAGTTACTTGTGCTTGTTTTTTATCTGATATAATACAATAAAACTTTGTTAAGCTTGTGGGCTTGCGGCAAAGTGAACTAAAACTCTGTATATATATATATATATATATATTCTCCTTTTTTAAATCTTAAAGTATTAAAGAGTTTTAATAATTTAACAAGTGGTCTGTATTTATTTTGTGTGTTTTGTACAAAACAAAAGAACATTTGCGGATTTTGTAACAAAGGTCAGAAACCACTAACATTTTTTTTTTAATTTTAAACAATAACAACAACAAGAAACCCTAAACATGACTTTATGGTCAAGCACAAAAAGGTTTTACATTTTTCAACTTGTAACCTCTGCATCGTTAGGAAGAAGGCATGTTTAATCCAGTTGTTTTTGAAATGTGTGGGAATATTATCCGAGAATTTTGTAAAGAATTATTTGGAAACCAACCAATTAAATGTCTTTAATAATTGGCATTCTGTAAGGCAATTAGAGACTAATCGGCTTGAATGTGCTCATAAACGTTAATTGTTAGTCCTATATTAATGATATTAATTTTGAAATTTTAATTAAGGGGACCCCACATTCTCGGGGTCAATTTTTTTTATTTAATTCGAATCTACACTAATTCAAGAATGTCCCTACAAAACTTCAAGTGAAAATCTCAAGAACTCTTGAAGATATAGCCGATTTATTGTGTCAGCATCAAGTGACGGCTAAAAGGCTTCTCAAACTTTAAACGCGTTTTTCTCTTTTGCGAATTGCGGGCATGATAACTCAAAAACTAATAACCCAATCGATTCCAAATTTTTACAAGTTTCTGAGTGTATAGCTATCGTATGAACTAGGATAAAGCCAATCGGTGAAGATCTTCCTTATTTTTAAACTTGGTTTTTGGTCAAAAATCGGCGCTTTTCCAAAAAATTTCCCTTAAGAACAAAATATATTAATGTATTTGTTAATATATGTTAGGCACGGTTAGCCGACGAGTTCGAATATTTGGAGCGGTTAAATTTGAAATACGTACAAAAGTCAGTCGAGAAAGAAAAAAAACAATAAGAATTTTTATTTGTGTTCTATTGGTTAAAGCCTTGGCCGTCAATGGCTTGCCTGAAAATCTCTACCTTATTTATGCCAATGTTGCAGACATACCCAAAACCATACGTTCCGATTTGTACCGTGGCTAACAGTAATTCACTCTGAACATACTGGAAGCCATACATAAGGTCACACCAAATGAGAACCTTTTTTTCTCTGCCTACAGCACATACCATGCCCTGCTCTTGGCCTATTTTGGTGCTGATGACGGAAGAGGAACTGGTTCAGGGACTACGTCTCCAATGAGCCAAAAACAAGAAACAAGTCAACAATGGTTATGGCCTAGAGGAACAAATGCGCTATGTAACACGCAACGAAATCCCCGAAATATTTAATCCCGGTGATGTTACCTCCGACAGTCAAATGGTTTTGGTCAATGTTACGTATTTCATGGGGCAATGGTCGAATAAATACTAAACAGGAGATTTTCTATACTAAATAGGAGATTTTTTATACCAAACGTGGTGTCTTCTTTGTGCAGCCCCAAGAGTTTGTAACGCCGCGAAATATTGGCCCTAGTCCTGTCTTTATGTATACCTACTAGTCATATCTCGAGGAGCTGAGTCAAGCTAGACATGTGTTTCCGTCCATCCGTTGCATGTAGCATGGGTTCTGACCAATGAAGACCCCTTTTTTGGTAATGATCAGTTAACATTTAATTTTAGTCGGTTTTTTTCTTTTTGGTCGCTCCAGAGGCCGCAAATATGGCCCGATCATCGCGAAATTTTACATGTAGAAGGGGATCGAGCCAAAGAATAAGCATGTCCGTTTGAAAAGGATTGGTCAGTACTTAACGGGTCAAATGGACCCTGACTTTTGTGGGAAAAATTACTAACTCTTTATCTTGGGGCGTATATATTTACTCCTGAAAGACATATTCCCTAGAAGTTGATAGTGCATCCAAGAGGAGTGGTAGACCTTTAAATTGATACCAATTATATTGATGTATGTTCTCAGATGTGGGAGTTATGATATTGTTTAGTATTACAATTACCCCACTAGAGGGCGGAAATTTCGCACTGATCGCTTTGCAATTTTACATGAAGTTCCGGTTATGGACAAGGACGAATCCTATAATTTTCGGCAATGTTGAAATGATATTTAGGGGTTGCAATAAAAAGAAAATTGCAAAAATTTGTCATTAATTTTTAATGATGAATTCTCTGTTACTCTCCATTTAGTTATGCCTACCACTGACCAAGACACAAACCGTGTACTACATTGTGGTGTAGGGTGTAAATGTATAAGGTGATATTCATTTGTAGTTTTTAAACAGAATTTATAATAAATGTTCATCAAATCAGTATGTACTCGTTTTTTTTAATCAGAAACCTATGAACATTATTATTATTAACTGATTAAATACAATACATGACCTCTAGCGCGTATGAACATTATTAATAACGTATACCTTATGCTGGCCAAATTTCTACGCTTTTATTTTCATAGTGGTAACCAACCTACACTCCTTAATATTTACATTTTTAAATGATGTATTCCCGAAAACATGTATTCCCGAAATTTTTATTCATATAAATTCTATACATACCAAACTTCGAATCAAATAACACATTTCTATCTCTCATATTTTTTGCAGGTTGAACGCAAACGTCACATTGGTAACGATATTGTGA